GAAAATCCTTGGAACAATTAATTTATTCTAATAAAACTTTTAAAAATTAAATTAAAAAATAATTTGGAACTTTGGAGTCAGAGAAACTAGGTTCAGTTTTCAGTTCTGCCATTTACTACTGTGTGTTTCTGGGAAGGTCACTTAACTTCTCTGCCTTCTTTTCCCCATCTGTAGACTGGAGATAAAGAGTTTTTTATGATCATTGCAAGTATCAATTGAGTTATTATGCATGTAAATGTTTACACAGCCTAGAACAGAGTGATATAGATAATAGACAGATAGATGTATATAAATACAAATGTTATAGATATATCATGTAGTTATGTTTATATAGCATATACATATAATACACATATAATGGTATGGATATATATACATATACCATCTATCAAATCTCTAATTGGCTTTTAATACAGTCAATAGCTTACCCCAAATACTTGGACCTTGTTCACAGTCCAAGTAGTCTTCCCCTTTGCTCTGGCAAGATAAACAGGAGACAAATGGTGGAGGGAAGATGAGTGTGGGTTTGTCTTCAGGCCTGCCCATTTAGAAAATGGCAGTAGTACACTTTTCAAAGAGATTTTTTTTTGTTCTGATAAAGTCACCCTTCAGGTTCTAGTGGCTGTTCGGGCTGGCCTTCCAGATGAGGTTTGCTGAAGAGCCAGCAATGACATGCACCCTGCCAGCACTCTGTCGACTACCCCAGCTTTGTAGACATGTCTAAACAACAGAGACTGAGGCTCACATTCAGTCTGCACTGAGAATTTCTGTCTGACCCAGGTAGAAAGGTGCAAATATGTGTTTGGTGACAGTGTGGACAGGTTGCTTCAATGGGGCCCTTTATATGGAGGTTTGCAAGATCAGCACTGAAAAGCTTATTTTTTCTCTTCAGTATTTGGCGTTCAGTTAGGGTGGTCAGCATAGAGGAGAAGTGTCTGAGTTCCCTGCTGGTTGGGTAATATGCTTATACAAGATACACGTTTGTGAAAGCATCATTTCGACAGAATAAAACAACTAGGTGATTCAGAAATGAGAACTTCAAAGGAGTTTCAAGCACATTACATACAACTGAAAGATGTAAAGAAATTGAAGACAGAACAAACAACTTTATAATAGTGTAGGGTTTAATCTTTATAAAGAAAGATGAAAGAAAATGTTATATTTAAGTGGGAGAAGAGATGGCAAAGAATTTAGTGAATTGTCAAGTGTCTGAAGGGACAATAGGCGATCAGTAATAATTAACTTTCATTTGCTGCTTCTGAGCACATGGTAAAAAAAAAGAAATTTAAATTGTGACAAGAGAATTTAAGACAGTTAGCTACAGGACCTGTTACTACAAGAAGGACTAGAAATAAAGCTCTGTCTATGGAGATTAGGTAAATAAAAAGGCAAAATGATTGGAGACAGAAGGGAAGGTTCAGTTCTACCTAACTTTAGGATAATGACTGTTTCTTAAGCAATCACTCTACCCGGTCCCTCTCCTAAAACTCTGTGCCATCTCAGTTCATCTTCCCAACTATTTTGGGTGGTGACTATAATCTCCATTTTTACAGCTGAGAATGCAAAGGTTCTGAGAGGTGAAGTAGTTTGTCCAATGCAATGACACAGGAAGATCAGAGCCTTGCAATGTGAAACCATCATCCTTGCTTCACAGCCCATGTTCTCCTCTTCCATGGCCTTGAGAATATAACATTCTATCTTTTCATGATTTCCTTTCTTTGCTTTTATTAATTGTTCTTTAGTTTAGATTTCATATAAGCCTTTCTCCAAATAAAATTGTCTTGGCCTAACAAGTGGGTTACAGATCCCAGCTGGCTGTATTAGTAACCACATGTACATTTCTTCTCAGAGTAAGTTCCAGTTAAGTTGGGGTAAAGATGAGAAGGGAGGTGAAAGACAAAATATCTATTTTTTCCTTATTGAAATGTAATAACTTCCCTGTGGTAAAGATACAGATGTACATGGTGAGAAATAGATATAGAAGGATCCAGGGCCTTACTGAAGCATAAGTCAAATTGTCCTGCAACAATCCATATTTACTCATAGGGCTTGGACAAACAGCATATAAAAAGGAATAATGCTGAAAGTATATTAAATGGTAGTCAAAATAAAGCCAGTACTTTCCAAAAAGTACAATTATGGTGTCCTAAAGTGGAACGGTGAACAAAAAAACAAGTTAGCATTTTGTAAATTAGGAACTCTAGTATTTAAATAAGATATAATTGTGATGTCTGTTTCCCAAACTTCACACAAGGCAGCTATTTTGCCTTTTGTTCCTCTTAATTATCATGAAATGGCTGCTGTTCTCTCACCTCAAAAATGGTGGTCAAATGATTGGAATTAGATAGTTTAGCCCAATAGAGATTGAAATGGATTAATTTTGTATTACTTTATCCAGGTTTTGGTAATATGTTTAGTTTTAGTGCACTAAAGATAGATGTGAAACCACCATTCCAGGCTTTCATCAGTTGGCCAAATGATTCTTGGAATGTTTTCTCAAAGTGGTGGGGCACACACCACCATTCTGCATGAGACAGAATTACTGGGTCAGTTAAAATGCAGGCTCTGGGACCAACTCCAAGGACACTACATTGGAATATTTGTAAATGTGGTCCAGATATATGAATTTCAACACATTCTCTAGGAAATTGAGAAACACTGAGAGGGAAAGGAGAGAACAAATATTCATGGGTAAGAGCCCAGGAGCAATGTGGGTGAAATGTGAAGTGTGTGAATGTAAGAATATCAGCCTGAAAAGGTAAGGCAAGCTATAAGAGGGCTCACTGTTAGAGTCAGAATGTTGACGCATATACTAGTGGCAACAAGGACCATTCCTGTAAGTGGCAAAGTGCCATGGTTCTGAACCTGGAGTCTAGAGCTATGCTGCCAGGATACAAATATTAGCTCCTGGGCTCAATACATTCTGAAATTTGCATTAGTATCCTCATGCATGAAATAGGATAGTAACAGCACTCACCTCATAGGGTCTTCAGGAGATTAAATGAGTTCATATATGAAAAGTTCTTGGAATTGGGATTAGAATATGGTAAGTACAATATGTCTCAGTGTAAAGTATTTTTGACAGTGGTATACAGAGATTAAGATTATGGTTTTTGAATATTAAGATGACAGTAATACATAGGCATTATCTATCCCTCTACCTCAGTATTATTCTTGGATGCATATTAAAGTTGCCTCTCCTCTTCTTGCTCTAGGTATAAACGCATCACAATTCCAATGAGAACCAATGTTCTACATGCAGGCTATTTTTGAGTGCTCACTATATTCAATATATTGTGGTAGATCCTTTCTTTTATCATTTCACTTAAAACTGACAAACATTATCTTTACTTTAAAGAGTGTTACAAAGTTGAAGGAAAGTCATCCAACCCAAATTTTCCAGAGCTAGCATTCAAATCGAGGCAGTCTGGCTTCAGAGGCTGTTCTCACAACACGTGGTCTTTACTGTGACCCTCGTTCAAGCCAGGCCTCTCACTCTAGAGAGGTTATGATAGTAATTTTATTCAAGCTTTCTCCTTTGGTGTTATTTCCTCCATCCAAGAGCCAGTGAGTTCTCACAAACAGAGCTTATCCTGCTTTGCTCACAAATTTCCACTGGTTTCCTAATGCCCTGAAAACTAAAATCCCAACTCCTTCCCATGGCCTTCAGAGCCCTGTATAGTCTGACTCTTGCTCACCTCCTCAGCCTCATCTTTTGCCAGTTTCAACCACAACCATCATAGTGCAGCCACACTGCTCCTTAGACTCCTGGAATGCTCCGAGCTCTTCCCTGCCTGGGGCCTTTGAACTTTTCTCTCTGTCTGGAATGTTCTTCCACAGGTTTTTTGCATGGATGGCTCCTTTTCATCTGTTAGATTGAAGTTTAAGAGGCCACCTTCTCAGAGGCATTCCTGATCACTCAAGATTTTTTTTAAGTTCATATTTTCTATTTCAGTCTTCTGTTTATCTTATAGTACTTCTATTGCTTATATTTAGATATTTATTCACTTATTTTTTCTGTCTTTTCTGGTAGAATGTGTGATCTATAAGAAAAAGGAACATATCTTTTCCAGGGTGTGTGTGTGTGTGTGTGTGTGTGTGTGTAGAATATACCGTACAAAAGTGCTACAGGTAAAGGGATGCATCCACAAGGTTTTTCTGGCAAAGGACAGTTTAAGTGCTTTAAGGGGTTCCTTTTCATGATTCACATAAGGATTCCATATCCTCTAGCAGTGTCTTGTATGTGTACTTTCTTGACTGGTAGATAACTCAGCTGTTAGCACAGTATTGAACAGATAGATGTTCAATAAACATGTTTATTAGATTTAAGAAAACAATATTAAGATATTGTCTATGGTAGAATAGAGGGATATGGAAGACAGCCTATAGCCATGGTAATTAGAACCAACAGAGAAAAAATTCAAGGTTATTAAGTCTGCTCTCAGGAATCTATGAGGGGAAATGGTGCCATTACTGAGACAAATGGAATTAAGAGAAGACAAGGCTCATTTGAGAAGATGACAATTTCATTTGGTATGTAATTTGAAAAGCTGATGTCTTCATTTTGCTTTTATTGCACATGTCATCATTTTGGTGTGATCATTAAAATTAGATCTAAATTTGCCCCACATAGTGTTCAAAGCCCTCAGATTAATACTTTGTTAATAATTTGAAAGGTCCATTGTTATTTAAACTGTTGTATAGAAGTTTTCTGTATTTTATGATATAATCATTTGTGGCCAAGATACAAGGAGTTAAGGAAGAAGAGATAAAATCATTTTCATATTTAATGGATTTTACCCATCATTTTCTGACTTACTCTAAGCAGTTTCTTTTAGGTCATGGCCCTTAAAAAGTTATGCTTTGTTTCTTTCTCTTAATGAAAATATTTCTAAATATCACAGACTAGCCAATCACACAAAATTCCTTTTCTCTAAGAATTCTTCCTAAGTACAGCTGTCAGTATAGAAAAATCCATATATAGGATGTTGGACACATACCTCTGCATACTCGGCAGCAGGAATCTGGAACTGAGACTGGGAAAGCACAGGTCAATTTGGGGCAAGTCTTGAGACCACAATACACATTCCCCTCCTGGCAAAGAAAAACACAATAAGATCAGAATGATCTTCGATAGGTTAACAATACCTGAGATAGATACTACTCTTTCATAATCAGTTTTGGTATTTCAGTCTATTTTATGATGCTTTGTTTTCTCTTATTTACATTTTTTTCCATGCCAGAAGTGTTAGAAATACCAGTCAGTTCTTCTGGTCCAATGTGGGAGAAAATATTCTGTGAAGGCTGTCACTGACCTTTGAACTACTAAGTATAGTTTTGCTTCTCTTCTGTTCACTGCTCTTTGCTTGCCCCAAACCAAAGAGATAGGCTTTCTTTGCAGTAATACAAAATTATTCAAGATATTCATAGCTCAATTCTGATTTGCCTAGCTCAATCCAGTGCAGGGTAAGGAAGAAGACTCATTTTACTGGGGGTTTTATCTGTCCTTGCAATAATTTCCACTCCCTAAAAGTCTGCCTTTAAAATGTTATTCCCTAAACCCGCCCTTACTTCTCAGAAGTAAATCTTTCTAGCCCTAGAAGGAAAACTAGGCCATTTCAAAATTCTTCAAAATGATTGACATACCATATTTTTCTAAAATTCTAAGAAAAAATTCTCTAACTTCCCCTGACAAACCAGTGTATAATGCACTTTATAAGTAGAAAAGTTGTTTTTCCACCTAACTTAGTTCCTTCATGTTTCATTTTGATCTAGTTCTACCTAAAATATTCTTTAGGCTGCACAAAAGGAAAGATATAATTTGGTATACTTTATTTGTGGAGTATGCCCAGTTTATTTGACAAGTATTGTCATGAGAATTTTCTCATTACAGGATACCAGGTTAGTAGAACTTTCAGAGATGGGAACCAACTGATATCTCATTTTCTTGTGAATTGGATCAATTGGCCCTAGAATGACAGTGAAATGTCTATCCACAGCAATACCAAGACTTCAAATAATCATATGAGGCCTTTCAATAAAGGAATAGGTGGTGGAACTATTATGAAAAAGAGTCCAAATCAATTCAAACAGCTCATCATGTGCATTTAAGCATTCTCTACAGCTTTGAGCCATGAGTTCAAACTTTCCAATAGAGTTTTTCAAAGTTGGTGGAGATGAGGGAGTTTGGATTAGCAGGGATGCTTATGACTTAAATGCAAATCATTTTTCATTCAAACACCTTACAGTGCAAGCTCACAGAAAATATAAGCACAGAGAAAGCTCTCTTATTTGGGTAGCAACTAATAGAGATGTTAAGACACAGGAACTTACCGAACAGCTGCACTGGGTGCACTGATTGGGTTGTCGGTTCTGAAAGAGCCCTTCAGCCACGAACAACTCTCCATGTTGGTAAGTGGTCCCATTGTAGTCACATGACTTACTGGCCACTTTATTGTTCACTGGGGGTAAGGAGTCTTCTGGAACAAGGTGTACAAAACACATACCAAGTATTATTTTTCATCATTGCAAAGAATTTCATAAATCCCAACAGCAGATGGGGCTGCACTACATGAGAGAGTTGAAAGACAATCCTGGCCAATGATTTTAGATAACATCAGTCAGAGAACAGCAGCTGAAATTACCATCTACCCACCTTTCATTTGTGGAGGATTATTGAGCACCTACTGTGTAGCAGGTACTGTAATAAGCATTAGAGAGAGAATGGAGAACAAGGCTTTTGTCTTAGTAGAGCTAATAGTCCCAGATGGATGTTACTAACATGCTAGAAGAATGGAGTCCATACTGTTTCTATTGAGTCTTTTTTTGATTCCCTTAAAAAAGGGACTGTTGACTATGTATTAAACTATCCTAGAAGGTTTTGTACTCATTCATATTTAAATCACTTGTCATATGCTTGCATGTTTGTTTTCGTCTGTGGAATTTTTGCTTATTCTTAGCCCTCCCTCCTCATTCTCACCTGTTGAAATACTATGTGATTAAGGCTCAGCTCACATCTCCTTTCCTCTACAAATTATCTGTAATAATTTCCAGCCTATAATCTGGATGTCTCAAGGCATCTCATGTCAGAAGAATACAAATCTAGCACTTGAATATTATAGGAACACACATTTGTGAATTATACTAGCCTAGTAAACTACAAAAGACTTCGCATATGTTATTACAATGGAGATTCTTAAAAGCCCTACAAATCAATTAGGGTAGATTCTTTCCTTCATTTTTCATTTGAAGGAAGCAATTATATTGAGTGACTTATATGAACTCAGAGAGCTAGGAAATGATGAAGAAAGGGAATCAGAATCTGGTCTTCTGGCTCCAAACTTCAATTTCTGGCCATGTATTTATGCATATGTATGTATGTATGCATGTATGTATATATATATATATATATATATATTAGTGTTTGGTAATTAGAACTCTCCATGTCTCTTCACTCAATGGAATGTAACACAAGGGTTACTGTACAGCAAAAAATGTCAAAGCATTCAGTGAGTTAATGCTGGGAATGATCATGATTTCTTTGTTGCTTTGTATGTCCCTCCAACACGGTATAACCCCTGCTTTCATCATATTTGATGTTGGTATAATTTGTGGAGGGGAAGGGCAAAAACAAATTATTTAAATAGGGATACAGGGGACCCATGGCAACAATGAGATGTACAAAACATTATGTCGAAAAACTAACTTTACAACTTCGGCAGGGGGGAGAGGGAGTAGGAGATGGGAAAGGATGGGAAGGGGAAACAAAGGAAGAAGAAACAATGCTTGATAAGAAATGTACTCGTTACCTTGCCCATGTAATTGTAACCCCTCTGTACAGTATTTTCACAATAAAAAAAGAAAAGAAAATTTTTCAATGGGTTTCCTTAAGGACATGCTGCATGTGAGTACATGTACATATACCTACACACATACATATACGCATACATACATAAACTTATACATAAGATATAGCAGTGAACATGTCCTAAGACTGAAATAACAACAGATGTTAGCAGATGTTGGAAAAACACAATTGTTAAAAAAAACTATTTTTCTGCTGGGTGCTGGTGGCTCACACCTGTAATCCTAGCTACCCAGGAGGCTGAGATCTGAAGATCTCAGTTCAAAGCCAGCCCAGGCAGGAAAGTCTGTGAGACTCTTATTTCCAATAATCCACCAGAAAAGGGGAAGTGGCACTGTGGTTCAAGTGGTAGAGCACTAGCCTTGGGCTGAAGAGCTGAGGGACAGCAGCCAGGCCCAGAGTTCAATACCCATGAGCAACAAAAAATTTCTAAATATATTGAAAACAATAATTGTTAATAATAAAATGGCATCATAAAAATATAACAAGTTAATATTTATTATGTGTGCCACATCCAACTGTGAGTGCTACTGTATACAATATTTCACTGGCTTTTACTAATAGCATTTCTAATGTAGAGCTGATTAGCAGCTGAAGAAACTAATATTTTTTAGAAACTAATATTTTAAAAAATTAGAATGCTGTTGCATAAAACACCTAGAAAAAGTCAATGCATTTTTTTCTAACTTTAATAGTACATTGTTATATAAGTTGACCTATAGTTAATTTCCAAGTAACTCACTTTTTACACTTTACCTATTCATGACCTTATGACACATATAACATTAAATAATTTTACTTTAAAAAGGAGAAGCCTTCAGTCTGAGAAAGAGTTTTACTCATATTAATTGAACCTTTGTCTGGGCTGGGAGTCCATGCCCCTGCCCATCAGCTGGTAGAAATGAGTGACAATCATCAGAGAGAGTACTGGAGCCAGGGCCATTTGCCCCCTGGGCTCTAATTATTCCAAATTTCAGATTTTGTGGTAAAGGAAAAATACAATGACATAGAAAATAATATTTGTCATGGCTCTTACAGGAGCTGGCAGATCTTTGCAATAAAAAATGTTTGGGAATATTTTGCCTCAGAAGAATGTAGGTTGATTTTTGAACTGGCCTTCCATTAAAGTATCAATGGTATGAGGTTTTCTGATAGGAGCATGACCTTAAGAGCCTTTATTGCAATAGCCTTCTAAGTATCCTCACACTGGAGTTTGTTAATCTATTCAACAGAAAACAGTAGTAAGCAAAAAAACAAGAAGACAAAGGAGAATCAAAGAGAAAGACAGCAATAATGGTCAAGCTTACAGCTACTTTTAAGCACTAAAATTATCTTAGCATCTCATTTATTATTTTATTCTTTTAACATCCCTAATAGTGTAGAGGAAAGAATTGTGAAAACAAGGCTACTGATACCACAAAATATTTCTCCCTTATCAAATAACTCCTCAATAGGAGAGCCAATTCAGAAATACGGTTTTTCTGTCTACAAGTATGTGTTGTTTTCACAGAAGGGATCACTGAGTTAGCTAGCTCAGATACTAACTCCCCCTAACCTTGTAACAAGTTCTTTTACCTCACTGGGGATTCATTTTTTCCTAAGAATGGTATATGAGTCTCAGATCTCCCCTGAATCTTTAGAGGGCCATACAATATGTTTGCAAACCACAGAAGCAAGGAAAACCACCTCAGTCATTCTACCCTCCGCTATCCTCTCCCTTCCCAGATTTTCCAAGTTGGCTGGGCTTCTAACCAACTATCCTTGGAACTCACTTGGTGTTACTGGCCCAATACTGGCAGAAAATCATTCTAAAGCCAAGCTGGTTCCAGGACCCCACGGGAGAATAAATACTATGACAAAAATGACCAGGCACATTCCTTCTAACCTCCCTTCCCCCTCCCATTTCTAGTCACAGTCTTGCAAAGTACTAACAACTAAGTGGAAGGGGGAAGGACATCATAAGGGAAACAGAAGAGCACTAAGCCATTTCATACAGACAGTGCCTAGTAAATTATACTAATAAGTCTGTGGTCTTACCCCACTTCCTTTGGTGCACCATTCTTTCCATGCCTGCCACTACCTTTTTCCTACTCTTTGGAGCCCCAAAGTATTCATGCTGGTTGTTCTTTTCCCCACTCTCCCTATCCTCAAGTTGAAATGTTCTTTTTTTTCTTTGGTTGGTCGTGGGTCTTACACCCCTGGGCCTGGGCACTGTCCCTGAGCTCTTCAGTTCAAGGAGAGTGCTCTACCACTTGAGCCACAGTGCCACTTCCGGTTTTCTGGTGGGTAATTGGAGATAAGAGTCTCACAGACTTTCCTGCCCCGGGCTGGCTTTGAACCGTGATCCTCAGATCCCAGGCTCCTGAATAGCTAGGATTACAGGCGTGAGCACTGGCTTTGCAATGTTGTTAGAACAGTTCTCTACTAGTCACAACAAAGCAGTATGAATGCCAGGGGACCAACCAGCTCCCAGTGTAGAATATAATTGTAAAACTCCCCAGAGTATTCAAGGATCTGCTGTTAATTTTGCTATTGAATATGCCATCCCTTCTCTTAGCATTGCTACCATTACTTTGATTTCTACTTTACTTTGTATGGCTGAGCCTGCATCTAACTTTTATCTGATTCTTTGATATTACACTGATAGAAAACCAGAATATTGTCAGGCCACCTGGAACACTGTGATAGAGAGAAGATAGTGATGGAGATGAAGGTAAAGATAGTGATGGTGATGAAAGGGGTTTTGTTCTGTAGAATCCAAATGGTTATATTGTCAGAAATAAGAGGGAGTAGAATGGAAAAGGAGCGAAAAGAGGGACCTAATATAGGGCTCTGTTTGCAAACCATGCTTTTCTTAACCCTGTATGTCATAATGATGACAGAGAAAAGAATTAAGCCTGGTCTTTGGGATTCCAAATGCTGTGATTTAGTTGTTTGTTTTCTCTTAAAGTCATAAGTTGAAATTCTAGCCCCTAAAAAGTTCATAGGAAGAGACAGGACCTTCTCAGAACATTTAGGTTATGAGGATTCTACTCTCAAAGATTAGTGCCATGCCAGAAACCTGTCAGTGGACACTGGAGATATATTAATACATTGATAGGTTATGTAGTTTTAGATATTAATGGGAAATCTCTTTATGATGATATAGAAAGATATGTTAGTCAATGAAGACAGTAATAAGGCATAAAGTGATTTACACAATATACTACATTTTATGTATAAAAGAAGAGCATATATTCATATTTCTATATTTTCCTGAAGAAAATCTGGAAAGATATGGAAGAAAATACTAAGAATTATGGAGAAAATACATACTGTGTGTGTATATGTGTATGTGATTTAAAAAACTGTGCAGTTGTGGGATAGAGGTAAGTTAGATACTTTACTGAATAATGTTCTATATATGCATACATATATAATCACATATACATGAACTTACATATGCATTTATATATATATTTTTGGGTCTGGTCATGGGGCCTGAACTCTGGGCCAGGGCGCTGTCCCTCAGCTCTTCAGCTCAAGGCTAGCGCTCTACCACTTGAGCCACAG